TGGCCTTTTATCCTTGACAGCTCTTACTCTCATATTAAGATGTACTTCAGTGATTTCAAGGCTATTTCAGCCATAAACTCTCATTTAGAGGGAAATTAGCCTGACCCTGAGTCCTGTTACTATACTGTGCTTAACAGCATTAGACAATCCTCGTGGCTTTTAAATAAGAGCGAGGATGGATAGTGTCATTCAAATAAACCTTTGCAGTCCTACTTTTTTGCATTAGTTGTAATGGCCAGGCACCCATTGTTTTATGGAATTGTACAGCCATTGTGTCACACTGTGGTTAAGTGTATTAAAATGGGCCAGAAATGATTAATATGCACTGATCAAATTATTTTATAATATCTTTATTCATTTATTTTTTCAAGGGAATTTGTTGTGTTAAACATAACATATTTAGGTGTTGATGATGGCAAAATATCCAATGACAATGGATTAGTGCAGAGTTCTGCTCTTGGGAGGGTTCTATAGGTTTGAGTAAGATAATTAGGTATAAGAACAGAATGCAGCAAATATTTAGTCTGTGCAAGAAATAATAAATAATTTATCACTGATTAACTTTGAAAGGATTGGTGCTAATTTAAAGGGGTAAAAAATTGGAATAGATCTGTTAAATATGGAGAAGACGATCCAGACTAATAACATGAAATGATGATGCTTTGGTCAAGGTGAAAGAGATAGCCGCAAAACTAAAAAAGATATGTTTTAAAGACAGCAGTGACTGCTGCTATGATGTATGTTTTAGAGACTGTAGCTCTGTATGGTAGATGGGAGGCAGAGCAGTGGAGGTAGCAGAAATGAAGATGCTGTGTTTTTGTTGGGGGCTGACTATGGACAGGATTAGAAATGAACACCACAGTAACAGTTAATGTTGAGCAAGAGCTCAACAAAAGATGTTAAAGACCTCAGAGAAAATGTATGGATATAGTGAAAGAAGTCTTGGAGATGATAGGTATAACAGTGATGTGTAACAGCAGAGATGGAGGCAGATGATCTGCTTGGCAACTCCTGAAGTGAACAACCAGAAGAATGCAGGAGGAAGATCCAACAGCAGGCACCACTGAGTCTTTACATGCTTAAAATGACCAGGATATTCCACTGGCGCATTAGCAACGAAACAAATTATCATATGTCAAATGACTAAAAAGTGTAATTCAGAGAAAAGACCATGTGACTAAGTGGTTAACTTGCCATAGTTTTGCATCATCAAGTCAGGAAGCAACAAACAGTAGCCATTTACTCCCAAAAAGACAGAGCACCAAAGCAACCATAGAGACAAACCCTAATCAACTTTACCAATTACACTCCATCTCAGACCATTTATTCCATGCAGAATGACCTCAGTAATGTTGGACATCACACAAGTGCTTCTGTCAGAGTTCGTGAGAGTCCCAGTACACATTTGTATTTTCCAACAAATAGTTCAGGCTCTAATGAAACCAGGGTTCCATAATTCTTGTCTTTAAAATTAAAGCTGGATTTGCAGGAGAAATAGCTCTGTAAAAGTAAAGTAAACAGAAAAGAATAAAAACATCAGGTATATCTTTGATCATGTAAAAATGTGACTTCACACAGAATGATTTTAAAAAACATGTTTTTTCTGTGATTGACTGTTAAAAACCATATGGAGACCTTTAAGGCTGATTAGAGAAAAAA